CTTGTCCCACCTACTTCCTGCCTGGCCACTGGCCAATCAGTGTTTTATTTACTGACCAATCAGAGCAATTTGACATACAGACCGTCCCACAGCAGTTGATTTTTTTTTTTTTTTTTACATTGAACATCATAGTTGTTTGCATAGCCCTGCAAAAGAGAAATCCAAGGTCAGGAAGGTTTCTGACCTTTTGTCCAACAGTTTTATCTAGTATCAATATAAATCCATCTTTTTTGAGAAACAGTTTCCAGTAAACTTATTCTCAATTTCAAAATGCAATAATGCATCATTATTTATGAAGAACAGTGAATCAATTTCTTTCCTTTTATAATGGTTTCTGGGACAGCTTATTCTACCAATCACTTACAAAGGTTAGGTGAGTATTCAAATATATTGAGGGAATGGTCCAACACCTGTGTATGATGCCAGGAAATAGCATTTTCTGTAGGTTAGTGCAGACACACTGAAGGATGTTAAACAAGAGTGCAGTGATTAATTTCAGAAAGACATCCCTATGACAGGGATGCAGATAATTTTTTTTTATATATGAACAGGCATGGAAATGGTATTTTTGACAGTGGTCAGGGTCTGAGATGGGTATTTCCAGATTTTTTGCTTTTTATTCAAGAAAGAAAGAAAAACCAATGCACACTGCAAAGTAATGAGGAAACTTTATTCAAAGAGTTAGAACAGGTCAGAATATACTCTAAGAGAGCAGCAGATCTCAGGGGCCCAAGGTTATTGTTTGAGGATTCTTATGGGATCCAGGAGAGCAGGGGCCAGTTACTCACAGGCATAGTTAGAGTGGTTCTCTTAGATTGTGTTATATGATCATGTGTCTCCTGTGCATGTCCAATCCCATAATGCACCTGATTTTAGTCATGTATGTGCATTCTCCCCTGAAAGTTCACTTGGGAACATGGTTTTATCACACATGTACCCTAAGCCCATTCACACCTTTCCATTTCTGTAGCAAGACAAAAGCAGAGTAGAACTGAATGCAATCTAAGTTGGATGGTCATTTTACAGTGGAAGGTGTATATACAGTATGATGGAGATTTATTCAGAGGTGTGTGTGTGTGTGGGTAAGAGTCGCAAGTTGTCACGTGCATTTGTAGCCCTTTCCAAGTAGGGTATCAGGCTACTAAACTATGCCACATGCAGATTACTGTGGCAGGCAAGCAAGAATGGGGCTGTGAGTAGAAGCATGGGAAGGATAGCCCAATATAGAAGATGCTCCTCGCTAACACTGATAAAAAGGGGAACCAAACTCCATTTATAAAGCAGGAGGCAGAACAAGGGAAGGGTCTCAGGCAACTTTGGGGATTGATTAGTCCATTTGATGTGTTTCACCCATGTGTGCTGCACCTTGCTGTCCATGTATTCCTTACTTTTCCTGTTGCTGTGATAAAATATCCCCCTAAGGCCACTTAAGACAGAAAGGATTTATTTTAGCTCATAGTTTAAGGGTACAATCCATCACCCTAGATCTTGTTTCTATATATTGAAAGCATACAAAAATCTACAGTTAAATGTCAAAACCAGTTACCTTAATGTGATGTTTTATGACAAATGCTCCCCATAGACTCAGGCATTTGAATACCTGGTTCCAGTTGATGGCATTGTTTGGGTACATTTAAGAGTATGGTTTTGATGAAGGAAGTATGTCACTTGGGGGCGGGCTTTGAGAGTTTAAAGACATGTCATTTCTAGTTTGTCTCTGCTTGCTGCTCCAGCCACTGTGTCTGTCAGTTCTCTGCCATAATGGACTCCAGTCCATCCCCCAGGAATCGTAAGCCCAAATAAACATTTCCTCCTATAATATACCTTAGTCATGGTGTTTTCTCATTGCAATAGAAAAAGAAAGGTAACTAATATGCCTACTAGTCTATAAAACATGTTGTTTCTCTGATCTCTCTGCTCCTCCTGCACTCAACATTCTCTATATCAAGTTGATTTATTTCATACTTCCTTGATATCAAAAATATTCTTAGATATATAGCTCAGTGGTAGAGTGCTCATTTAGTATATATGAGGCTCTGGATTTGATCTTCAGCCAGCACTGGAAAAAACCCACAAATACATATGTATGTATAAAACAGAAAAATAATTGGTATTACCTTCTTCAGTAGTTATGAAAATCTGCTCTAGTAGAGGGATGTGTATAGATAGATAACTGAAATATATACTATATATTATGTAAAATTATACCTGAGTTTATCCTGAGATGGTGACTTCAGAGGCTCACAAACTTAGGACTTTTGTTATGCTACACTTAACCTTGCCCATGTTATTTCTTGCCAGTTTCTCTCCCAGGAATTTCTTCAGAGCTAAGAAGCACAATTTAGAAAAGAATAGAATGGAAAAAGAAGAAAAACTTTTTAGAGAAAGATTTCAGGTATGTTCTCTTCTGAAAGTGATAATTAACAGAACACTCACACTACTGACAACTAGAAACATCCACTCTTAAAGAAACGATCTGATACATTCCTATATTGGCCTGCCTCTGTACATGCTATTCCATCTGGTAAAGCTTCTAAAATGTTGAAGGCTCTTTTCAAGTCTCATTCCCTCAGCACATTTGTACAATACTGATTAGAAGGAGACCCTTTCATGTTTCAGTTCCCAGTGTAAAACAATGTGTTGTATTTGAGTGAGTGTAGCAACATCTCAAACTTACATCCTTCACTAAGAAGCTATGGAGTGTTCTCCACTGCTCCTTCCCAAATTTGTCTGCTGCCAAAGTGAGGACCTCTGAATTCAGGAAACATTTTCAACAGCATCCAACGGTAGACAGTGGACTAAGAAAGACAAATTCTGTAAGTCAGAGCTCTACCAGAAAGAAATGATTCTTGTTTCCTCAAGTCATGGCCGCAGCTAATTCTTGTTTTCTCTCCTCAGATTCTGTCTCTGCTCTTTCTCCTTTGGTAACTCACTGCTCATAATTCTGTTTCTAAAAGAGCTTGCATCTCTACCTCACTTTCCCTCTCCTTCCTCCGGCACCGACTTGGTCTGCTCCACATCTGACATCCCCCTGTTGCTTTCTCCATCTGGTGTGTTCACTTATCAAGACCCAGTTGAGACATCTTCTTATTCCATAAAGACCTGCTCAAACTTCTAATTAAAGAAATTGCTTTTCTTCTTACCTAAATACAACTTCTGGTACAGTTCATCATACTAAACTGTGAACTTCTAGGTGGCATAGATTATCTTTATCTTCACATCCATGTGCTCAGCAGAGAAACACTGCCTCACACTTCAAAAACATCCCAAACTATTTTGAAAGTAAACTAAAACTAAGACTATACATAAATTCCTTAACTGCTGATATCATCTGCTTGGCCAAAGCTCAGAAAGTTGTTACCTAAAATCCCCACATACTAGGATGTTATTTGATTAGATCAAAAACAATAGCATAGTAATCTCTGGCTGAAAAGACCCCTATCATCCACCAAGGCTTTCTCCTTTGCCCTTGAAAGTCCCAAATGGGATGAAAATCCTGTCTCCTCTGTATGTATGAGTCTATCCCTAGTTCCTGAGATGGGCTTCTAGTTACCTTTAAGAAAAAAATATGCCATTTCAATCCAGCTCAAAAAAATACTGTGTACCTCACTGTGGACAGGAATTAAGGGTACAACACTCACCTCTAGTTTCTTTTTCTTTTTTTTTTTTTTTTTTTTTTTTTTCTGAGACAGGGTTTCTCTGCGTATAGTTTCTTTTTTAAAGGCAGTGTGTTTACTAAATTCTACAATAGGAATATATTTAGTACAGTTACAGCAGTAAGTTGTTCATGGCAGTTACAACAATATCAGAAGTTGTTGGCAGCTGAGTATTTCAAGTAGGAGGAGAGTGCTCACATGAGTACAGGCCTGGAAAGATGGGAAACAAAGCACCTTGGCACTACTTGGCCCAAGGACTTTGTAGTAAAGGGACAAGGAATGACAGTATGCAAAGGATTCTGAATATTAAGCCTTCCTAAAGGCAATAGAGACTTCAGAACTCTGTAACTAGGAAAGTAGCCTACTAAGATTTGTTTTTAAGAAACGACTGAGGATTCATAGTAACCAAATGGCCTGGAGAGAGGGAAAGATGTCAGGGGTTTGTGAGGGTCAGGTGAGGAGCCATTACAGGTCATCCTAATCTGCTGAAGTAAACACCAGGGACCAAACTACATATCCTAGTTTTTGTTTTCTTGGTCAGTGCATGAGAAGGTGAAGTACCTGTAGGCAGGCTCATCAGGAAGAAGTCCTGTGGGTTCAGGAACTGAATTTCCCACCAGAGATTGCTCTGTCACAAACGCCTGTCTTTCACCGTACACAGACAGTGGGCATTTCCCACATATACCCAACTGCCACCATTTTAAAGTACAAGTGCTCAGAAAAGGTGAGGATGGAACATCATCCTAAAACAGAATATTAACTCTACAGCTGTGTTCAAATGTTTCCTCTCCTGAGTTAGGAGGTAGCTTTGTTACTGTTTAAACATATCAGGTATGGTATTTTCACACCCACCAGGACTTGTTCTGATATCTATCAGTGGACGTGAAAACAGTTTTAAATTAGAATCACTTAGACAATTGTTTTGTTTGGATTTTACTATTATTTTAAGGGCCTTTCACTGTAATACCCCATCATTTACTTTGTCAGTATCTAGCATCCTGTATGTTGAGGTTACTATATTGTATCTTTCATTAATTCTGTTATAATAACTATCTTACTATAGTAATTTCTCATTTTAGTATGGTAAAGAGATTGTGGTCATTAATAGAGCAGTAGCGTGCTCCAGTAATTCACGGAATGGAGTATTTGACCTGCCAATAACTCCTGGAGAACAGCTGGAAGTTATCGACACCACTGAAGAAAACCTAGTGATATGTCGCAATTCCAAAGGCAAATGTGAGTTCATGGTGAAGCTTTTCAATATTAAAAAATTTTCTCTAGAAATCTGAGGTTAGTAATGTGAGTTTTGTTTCTACAGATGGCTATGTGCTCATTGAACATCTAAATTTCAAGTAAGTTGTTTAATTTCATATCTAGCCATGAGTTCTGGGTACTGAATGTAGTATATTATGTATACTAGTCTTAAGGGACTACCCAGTGTATTTGAAAATTAGCTATGTAGTCCAGCGCAGTGGTGCATGTCTTTAATCCCAGCACTCAGGAAGCAGGACAATCTCTGAGTTCAAGGCCAGCCTGGTCTACAGAGTGAGTTCCAGGACAGCTAGAGTTACACAGAGAAACCCTGTCCCCCAAACACCAAACACTAGCCAGGCAGTGCACTGCCTGGAACTGCATCAGAGGACGCCTTCTCCCTGGGCTTCCTGAGTATGCTCACCAGACTAATATGCAGAGCCCATTTGCTAACAGTTTTTAAAATCGTCTGAAGTCTCCTAACTGTTCCACTTACCATCTATTTCACATGCTTGCATGTTCTCTTTTCTGTCCCAGGCATCAGGGCTGATTCCATCAGGAAGGTCTGCATAAGTCAGGATGTGCCCAAGCTGTGAGCCCCGCCCCACAGCCCTTCCAGTTCCTGTGTCAAATGAGATGGGCTGTGGAGACTTCTGTCAGAAACTCAGAAGAAAACCCTCAACATGTCAATGTTGGTTTGACTTCAAAAAAGTCCGTCTTTCAATGTCTGTTTTCCTGCTGGTTCAAGAGATTGTGAAACAGAATGTTAGCATGCGAGCACTTGCCTAATGAGCCACATCCCAAGTTAGACGTCTTGCCTTATGGTACCAGGGAGCTGTGCAGATGGTTAGTGAACATCTAATGTTAGTACACGTCAAATGCAATTTCTTGGTGCACATCTACATTTCATATGACTTCTAAGTGGTAAAGAATGTAACCATGTTACTTTAAACAAAACACCTGAGCCATAGTTATTTGTTGTTTTTTAACCAAAGTAAAAGAACAGAAGATAAGTACTACTGAAGGGAACAGTATGCTGGGGGGGAGGGGATTCTTTTCTAAATTCAACCACAAGTATTTTTTAGAAATGTTTAACAAAAATGTAAGGATATGTACATGTTGTATCATGTGAAAACTTTGCCTAAAATAGGGGAAATTAATAGTTTGTCTATTCCCAAACATATCCAAGTGAATTTTATTTACATGACAGTACACAGAAATTGCACAGTTGTAAATAACATTCTGGTCCTACCTGATGTGCACTATGTGTTAATAATAAATTCTACATATGCTTTCAACCGTTACACTTCAAGTTCATTTCCTAATTCTTTAGAGGGCCCAAGTTCAGTTCCCAGCAACTACATGCAGTAGCTCACAATACCTGTTACTCCAGGAGATGAAACATCCTCCTCTGGCCTCCAGGGCACTCATGTGGCTTTTGTTCCCAGAAAAGCATATGAAGAATCCTCCTCAACTCTTTAAGCAGCAGGCACGATGGAAGCTTTTTCTTGACAGAGTCATCCTATCTATTTCAAAGCTACTTTTCAACTTTCTATATTCTTCATCTTCCTCTATATGCTCCAGATGGCACTCACCAATAAAGGTCATGTTCATTCTAACCCACACGAATCAAAGGTATTCACAGAGTTCAAAGCTTAGAGAATAAAACAGGATCCAGATGTGCTGCTCCTGGGCATATACCCAAAGGCCACAATAGGAAGGTAAAGGAACCAGCTTAGATGCCCATTAACTGATGAATAATGAAAGTATACATACACACAATGGAATTTTAGTCATCTATAAATAAAAATGAAATTACAGGAAAATAGATGGGTCTAGAAGTATTATATTAAGAGAAGTGACCCAAACTCAGAAAGACAAAACTTCATGTTCTCTCTCATATGCAGATCCTAGCTTGTAATGTATGAGTGAAGCCCAAAACAAACAAACAAACAAACAAACAAACAAACAAACAAACACTAAACCAAAGCAGACAAACATAAAAACAGGAAGAAACCAAGATAGGGCAAAAAGAAATGCTGAGGATGGACCAAAGGACGTATGTGCAGGAAGACTGATAGCTGAGTCGGAGAGGACAGGGAGGTAGGGGTGTTGGCGGAGTTTTTCTGTCCTGACTACCTGCTCACAAATAACCAGCAGCTGCCTCCCAAATAGCTGACTTAGAGACTTAATATAAAGTATAACTACTTGGCCGATAGCTCAGGCTTGTTACTAGCTAACTCTTACACTAAAATTAACCCATATTTCTTATCTATGCTTTGTCACATGGCTCATGGCTTGTTACCTCGTTTTCTACATGTCCTGCTTCTTGGGTGGCTGGCTGGTCTCTTATGACTATACCTTTCTTCCTCCAGCATTCTCAGTTTGGCTGTCCTGCCTATACTGTTTGCCTGGCTACCGGCCAATCAGCGTTTCATTAAACCAATTCAAGTGACAAATCTTTATAGTGTACAAAGGGAGTATATTTCACAGCATAGGGGAGATGAGCATAACAGGAAGAGAATCAACTAAAATTTTGTTCGAAAATGTTGCAATGATAACTAATATTTGTATGCTAATTAAAATAAAGTAAAAAGAGAAATCATTACAACAAATACCAAAGAAATTCAGATCATTAGAATATTTTGACAACTTACATACCTAAGTTTGGAAAAAAATCTAAAGAAAACTGATACATTCCTATACAGCCTGCCAAGAGGAATAAAAACAACTTAAACAGATACATGACAAGTAATGAGGCTAATGAGATAAGAGTCTTTAGAATCCAAAACATACAGGCCCAAAAGGATTTTTTCCTGAATTCTACTAGGTTTTTAAGAATACCTGTGCTCTTCAAACCATTCCAGAAAATAGAAAGAGAAGAATGCTACCAAACTCATTTTATGAAGCCAATATTATCCTGACACCAAAACCAGATAAAGACACAATAAAATAATGATAGGCCAATCTCCTTACTGAACATAAATGCAAATTTTTTTCAATAAAATATTGGCAAACCAAATTCAATACATATAAAAAAGATAATTCACTATGATGAAATTGATTTAATTGCACAGTTAATAAATTATGTAAATCAGTAAGTGTGATACATCATCACATAAGAGTCAAGGACAGAAACCATATGAACATGAATGCATGCAGGATTTGACAAAGCTCAATATCTTCTACATGCAATGCTCTGAAGAAACTAAGTGGAACATATCCCAACATAATAAAGGACATATACATCAAACCTATAGCCAATATTATACTAGATGACAACAGAGCATTTCCTCTAATCAGGAACACAACAAAGGGGGCCACTTTCACCTTTCCTTACTGTTTTCATCCCTCCCTCCCATCCCTGAGAGTCCATGTGCATGTATATACAGTATGTATTTCTGTCTATGTCTGTGAACATTCTTTGGGTCCTATGTTGGGCTATCTTAGTTTCTTTCCATTTTCTGTAATCAAATGCCTGGTAAGAAGCAACAGAAGAGAGGAATGATTTGTTTTGGTTCATATCTGAAGGATAAAGTTTGTGCTCAAAACAATAGAGTGCTCAAAATCTTAGCCAGAGCAATAAGGCAAGAGAAAGAAATTAAAGTCATACAAATAGAGAAGGAAGAGTTAAAGTATCCCAATTTGTAGATGACATGACCTTATGCTTAGAAGACCATAAACAGTGAGGTGGATCAGAGGGCAAGGACATTTACCTGACATCCTGAGTTCAATCTCCAGAACCCACATGGTGGAAGGCGAGAACCCACACCAGCAAGTTGTCTTTTGACTTCCATGAACATGATCGCACCATGGCAAGCATGCAGCTCCCACACATAATAAATAAACAGTAAGTGTAAAATATGAAAAAGCCTAAACAGTCCACCAAAATCTTTTAGAACTGATAAACATGGTTGGCAAAACTATTAGACTAAAAATCAACATATAAACATCAGTAAACTGTCTCTATATCAATAACAAACATGCTGAGAAAGAAATCTAGGAAATAATTCTATTTACTAGAACTGTTTAAAAAAAGCAAAATATGGGCTGGAGAGATGAATCAGCAGTTAATATCCCACAGAGGTACTTGCCACCCATTTTTAGGCAGCACTACTCACAACAGCCAAATTATGGAATCATTTTGATAACATTTGAATGTAAAGAAAATACAGTTTTATTCAGCCATAAAGAACTAAATTATGAGGACTGGAAGGATGGCTCCATGGTTAAGAGTATTTGCTGCTCTTCCATAGGACCCAAGTTCTGTTCCCAGCACTCTTGTTAGGTGACTCACAACCATTTGTAACTGCAGTTCAGGGGATCTGAGGCCCTCTTCTAGTCTCAACAGGCCCCTGGACACACAACACATAAACACATACATGTAAACCTCTAAGAACAAAATTATGTCATTTTCAGGAAAATGGCTACAACTAGGCATCACATTAAGCAAAATAAGGCAGACTCAGACAACTATCACATTTCCTCATGTAGACTCTAGATTTGATAATGACACATAAAATTATGTGTGTGTGTATATAAAAGCATATGCCTGGAAGTAGAAGCAAGACTGCTGAAGGACTAATGAGGAAAGGAAGAGTAAGTAAAAATGGCCAAAGCAGATGCTATAGTTATGGAGGGAAAATCTACAAAATCCATCACTATGTACAATGAATATATGTCAGCGAAGTATCTGTATTTGAAAAGTAAGAAAGGGGGGCTGGGGGCATCATGTTGGTGGTAGACTGCTTGCCTTGCATGCATGAGACTCTGGGTTTAATACCCACCATGGCATAAAATGGGAAGAATGGTACATGCCTCTAATCCCAACACTTGGGAGGTCGACACAGGAGGATCAGAAGTTCAAGGTCACCCTCAGCTTCACAGTGAGTCTGAGGTAAACCCAGGTTACATGAGACCCTGTCTCAAAAAAAAAAAAAAAAAAAAAAATAGGAGAAGGGGAAGAAAAAAGAACAGGAAGGGGGGAAAGGGGAGAGAACAAAGAGGAGGAAGAAATACTACGAGTAGTAGTACTATTACTACTAGTAATAATAATAATAATAATAATAAATAATAAATTTGTAGTAGCAGTAGAAGACTTGTGTTTAGTCACCTAAGAACCAAGTATACCCATGGCACTTCCAAAGAGTAAAATAATAAATCCATGCTAAGTCCTTAAAATTGTGCCAATTTGTTATAAAAATAGAACACTTAGATATGGCTAAGGTTAAAAATACAGTGTACAGAATCAAAGACAAACTATACAACAATGGTGTGAAATCTCATTGAGTTATAAGCAATTTCTTCCTAAGACACTTTCTCAGGAATTATTAAATGAAACACAGAATATTAGCGTAATGACTGAACAGAAACAAATATAACTTTCAAATTCACCAGATTTTAATTTGATTCTGTGGAAAATGCAGACACACAATCAGACAGGCCACTTTTCTCTTGTGTTTGTTGCCAATGAGTTCCATACAGTTCAAACATTAATTAGACAGAACCTGCAAATATGAAATGCTCTGCAATTCACTAACCTTTTCTATATGGTTACTAAAGATAAATCCTTCCCACTGATCATTTAACTCACAAAAATGCATAACAAATAAAATTGAAATTAGAATCTAGTTATTTAAACAAAATCACTGCGAGTCTATTGTCTTCTGTTCTGAAACCAACTGTAAAAAGTAGTCCCATTTCAATGATTTAACAATGTTTTTAAATAAAGACATTCTCTAGCACTACACCAATGAGTTAATACATGAATACATTATGGGACTATTTTACAGGCTAAGAATGAATGCATGGTGTTCCTGAAAAACAAATCAAATAATTTCTATCCAGTAATGCATTATGTTATAATCATACAGATAACCTAGTATCTGCCAAATTTCAATTTTATTGTTCACACTCAAAAATCACTGTATAATAGTTAAATGTGATAAAAACACAACCATTACTCACAAAATAATTTTAAAATACTATCCTTCAAGGTCATAGTTCATAACAACTTCGCAATCAACACTCAAAACAGTACAACCATGGGTATTTGTGAACAGTCTTGACAGAAAAGCTGTATTTTGGTACATTAAGGCAGCTTTAGCCAACATTCTGAATAACAATATTTATTGAAACAAAAGACAGGTTTGATATTTAAATATTTGAGGTTTCCAAGAAATGTTAAGTGTCTTACAATAAGAACACTGTAGTTTGTGAAACTGTGTCTTAAACATTCTCAGCACTATGCTCTTATTACATATGACGTCTAAAAACAAGATACTCATCCTATCAGTATCAAAGGGTCTAGTAGAAAAGGAAGGATTGACATTGAATATGGGGCTCTAAAGCCCTCCTTCCAGGCTTTCAAGTGGCTTCTCACACACATCTGTGAGGTAGGTTATTATCCACATTTTGTACAAGAGAAAACTACAGAAGGTTACAAACTTGTGCTGCTATAGTAGCAAACAGGGAATTCGATTTCAATTAGATTCGGTCTTTAGCTCTGCATTTCTTTCATTTATAAACTTTAAAATATAAAGATTGCTAGTAATTGCATTCATTTTAAAAGCAGAAGAAGGCAGCCAAATATTTGCCCAGGTGGCTTTAAAAAGTGAAATAAATGAAACAGAAACGCTATTCAGTGAACAGCTTCCAGTGGTGATGGTGTGAGGTCTGGTCAAGTGGAACTGAAAAGGCAGAAGCAAACCACGTGACAGTCTGTGGGGCAGGTCACAAGGAAACAGAACTCACAAGAAAATGGAGTCTGGATGTGTGTTTGCTTTTCCTCTGCATTTGTTTGAGAAGGCACCAGGCACTGTTTCTTTCTTTGTGTAGACAGTGGGTCTATGTCTCTTCCATTCTAGGAAAATGTTCTCCATCTAGAAAAATGGGCTTCATTTGGTAACAAAACTTATTTACAGGAGACTTTTAGCATTCAGATTAGCAGGAGAAAAATAACAATGCTATTCTTCTTTCCTAGGAGGCTTCTGTTTCTCTTTGAAACTTTAAATTAACACAAAGTAGCAAATCTTGAATTAAAAAACATTGTATAAACCTTATTTTAAAAAAAAGTCTATGTTCAAATTTTTCTTCATTCTGGGACATTCTACAAATCCTTAACTTTTTTTTTTTAAACTGGAGAGAATATTATACCCTAGAATTTCCTTAATTGCACTTTAAATATAATTGAATTCACCCACCCTGCTTGTCCAAATAATCATGAATTATCTCTAAAATTTGAACTGCTTTTCGACATAAACTAAAGTTACCAAAAGTCACATGCAGTCACAAACAGCATTGCTTCGCAAGGCTGGCAGTAAACATTAATGTTGGCTCACAAAATACAGGCCTGCAGTCTGATAACTTCTAGCTGGGACCTGATTCTTATCAGGTTATGGCTGAAGAAGTTCAATGAAAACTTAATCCAGTCTAGACTGTGGGTCCTGTTCCTAATGCTATAACTGTTTGGTGGCATCAACTGCATCATAAATATTCAAGGAAAGGCTGGTACAGAAGCCGCTTACTTGTTTAAATAATATATATGTATATGTGTGTGATTTAAAGCTCATTAAGTTATATTTCCAAGTTTGAAAAGGCTTGAATTTCTATCAAGCCAATAGTGATTAGGTAGTTCATAGAGACATACTCTATGAAAATAGTGTCATATCATTTATGCACAAAATAAAAGATTACCAATATGAAGTGTAGCTAAGCCTATTTCAGCTAACAGTCACAAACTATGATGACTTAGATGGGGACCGGGGCTCTCCTTTACAGAGAGAGACTGTACCTTAAGAGTCACAGGATGAGGGCAGGGGGTTAGGTCAGTATCAAGCACGTGCTTCACATGTGTGAAGCCCTGGTTCAATCCCCAGTACAAAAGTCCCACACCCCAAAAATCACATAAATAAAATTGAAGAAAAAATTATGTTCTAGAGATTTTTCTAGATTTTAAGCACCCTCAATAACTTATATTTATAAAAATCAATATAATCATAAATATTTCACATAATTACATCTAGTTAGTGCAATCAACTAGTTTTTATAATTAAACTAGATATTCAGCTACAACTACTGTATGTCACTCCAGGACTTAGAAGCAATACACCAGTGTTTATTTTTATTACTTGCCTAGCAGATGTTTCACAAACTCAAACTGCTGAGCCCAGAAGAAAGGCAAAGTATTATCAGGGATGCCTGGCCACCACTGAATCAATCCCTGCATGCATGGCACTCAGGACTTAGGGAGAGACCGCTGTTCCTGCTCATGGGACTGCTGCTGTAAGGGTGTACTAACAGGACTGGAAATGGGCAAGCACTGCCGCCACTACAGTCGCCATTTCCTGATCAATGCTGAGTTCACAGGATGCTTTTGATTTGCTGATGATTTTTGCCATATGCATTCCAGTAGTCCAAGTAGCTGTGTTTAGAATAATACGGGCGTATATACCTTTGAAATGACTCAAACTAAGATAGAACATTCATACTAATATAAAAATACAAATATGTAAAAAGTGGACACTAACACAAATTCTCTGAAGAAGTAAACAAGGCAGAACTTTTGAGCTCAAAGGGACGTTAGCTCTTTTCTCTATCTCTTGCATTTCAGGGTCTCAAAATTGAGGCCAAGTCCAAGACGAAACTTACTAAGAGATGCACATAGCCTTCACCCCAACTTTTCAACAGAGCTGCTGCAGACCACTGAAGTGCTAACACCTGCTCTAAAAGCCACAGGGTAACTGAAGGAAAGCTAACAGGGAGAGATATGCCAGACTGAAGAGTTTCAGATCTTTAAACCAAACGCAAACCAGACAGGTCTATGAGCAGATCTCAAATTTAGATATGAGACTTCATACTGGGAGTTTAACTTATTAACCAGTGAACAGACAGAGCTGCAGTGTCTATGGTAGGTATGTTCCAGGCTGTTAAATCTTATAAACATCAATGTGGGGCCCACATTAAGCATGCTTACATATTAGTAGATACTACAGATAAAGGAGTATAAAAATCTGATTTGGTTGTTTATGATTATTTTCCAATTACATTTCATTTTACCTCAAGTATTAAATTTGTATTCCCTGAGTACAAACCAAGGAAAAAGTATACCCAGAATTATATAAGTATCTTTGAATACCTATTTGCATAAAGTAGAGAATTACTGCGCTACATAAGCCAATTCCCTGGCACACAAGGACATATATTTCTGCTTAGTTTAGGCCCCTGAGTTCTCTCTGCAGATGACCAGATGTGACAAGGGGCTCTAAAATGGTTTCTTCATCAAAACAAAACCCCAACTTGTGGATGGTTTGCTTTTCTCTCTCCCTGCAGATTTAATTTGAGACAGCTTCCATTTTGGTTTCCTATCAAAAAGTACTTAGGAAATGTTCAGTGGCCACTGAAGAATGAATTAAAACTGATTGGCTCTTCAGGGAGCCATAGTAGAAAGTCACTGGTCTCTTATTCTTTTGTTTTCCACAAGTAATCTTGTTTAAGACTTTTCAGTCATCTATTAAGAGAAAAAAGAATAGAAATTCTACCGCAAAACCACCAGTCTGATGGAGAACCCAGCATGTGATACAAGCTGCAAACTCGGGATGGACCTGTCTGCGGTACACGGAGTGGTGCTGAATTTGAGCCAGGCTGTCCAAAGCACCCGAGAGGGAAGAAGTGTGTCCTAAGTGTCACAACCACACTGGCTGTGGCACTCAGGCCCAACTGTTTTCCATATTTTATTATTGGATGTTAAGGTTTCCTTCTTGTTTTCATTGTGAAACAGGCCTTGCTATCTATCTAGTCTACTTTGGCCTCATGCTCCCCACTAGGATTACAGGGAAGCAACCATACTCAGCAGATGTTTGAAAACAGTAAACTAGTTTGGGCAAAGTAGGGTTACACACGGTTATGTGGCTTGCTTTTTCTGAAAGAACTCATCCAAGTCTTTAGTGCTAATACCCACTGTCCTCTGTAAGGTGCAGAGCAGAACACAAGGTTTTCCAAAATTATTCCATGTATTTCTTTGTTTTAGGAAATACCATTTTAGAACCAGATGGAATCCATTTCCAGGATATAAATAAGGCCTACATCTATAACCTAACAGTAATTCTCCCTAGGATCCAAGAGGGCCTGATCTTAACTCAGTACCTACTACATCCAGTGTTAACTGAAATGTGGAAATTTTAAATTTGCAAAGAAATCTTTCCTATTCTGTTTCCAAGAGTAACGGAAATGTGTGCTAGGTCAAAGGTCTGCCTTCTGTTCTGCTAGAGGATTCACTGAATTCTCCCTGCAAACCAATTACTCCATCACCAAAACTCATAAAAGAATTATGTTTTAAATAGTTTTTAGCTCTCCAATAGCATCATAGTCATTCAAACAAAGTAATTTTGCTAAGAGCAAGCTTTGAACATCAAATGCACTAGACTAATAAAGCATTCTGGCATCCTTCCTGCCTTTAAAACTGTTGTGGATGTTGTTATTAGAGATAAGGAATCCAATCAGTTCCTTATTTCAAAGTTTCCCATTCATAATTAGGCAAATATTTTGAGGTGGTACGCTCCCCTACACACACAGGGATATGTACGTATTTGGAGAAGCCAGAATTACAAAATATCCATAAAACACATTAGAGAAAACAGGGCTAAGTATTGCTATTAAAATAACTACTAAAAATTACCGTCTACTGCCACAAGATGGCAATCTTTCGAAGATTAAAAACTTAAGCTACCTTAATTGTACACCCACCCTCTTTCTCAAATTGCAGAACAAAGGTCCTTTAGATTTTGATACTGAGAATTGGAGTGATAAGTATTGACCATCGTTTTCTAAAAGAACTACAATATTATCTGATGGGATATAATGCAAACTCATAATTTAAAAAGATCTTTACAGGCAGACAAACTTGTCTTCCATAAACACATGAGAAACTTAGTCTAATAGTCTCATTTGCCCTTCTTGGTAGATAGAACTATACCATTTTTGGTGAAGAGAAACCTGTCAAGGCAATGTTGCTTTCATTTTCAAGAGCTTAATATTTTCTAGGGTAAATCAGGTCAATGATTTTTTTTAATCACAACATAAACACAATAAATTAATAAATACATTATTAGATAAATTATATATAATTTAAAAATACTTTTACTAAAACAAAATATAATCAATTAATTTTATCCTGCTATATAGTGTTTTTATCTTAAATTTTAAAAAAACTTGCACAAAAAAGTTTGGTTCTTTTTGATTAAAAGCACTGATGTGTCAATACATACATGTATATATGTAAACAACACATATACTTATTCCAGGAGAACATACTTTGAAATGTTTAAGGCTTCCCTGTCCAATCAGTTTCAACAGTGAAAGTCACAGCAATCAGGCTTTGGAAGTACACAAAGACCCCATGCACAGCACAGGGCTTTGAACTGAAAGATTCAAGACCAGGAGCCACACAAGACTGAAGAACAATGAACAAAGACAATGGCTACTGAGGAAGGAGGTGCCATCACTAACAACTTAAACCTCAGGTGAATCAGCAAAGATGTCAGGGCCATAACCTCCTGGCCCTCCCAACACACCCTAGGCCCATAAACACAAAACAGGTCATCAGAGTAGAATTTCCTTTATGGGGCTGTTGGTATTTTGCCTTGTTTCATTTAACTGTGTACTACTTTTGCATGGTTTTGTCTTGCTTGGTGGTGGTGGGATTTAACTAGGGGGCCTTGCACAAATGTTAAGCCTGGAGACTGGGCACCTGTTAACAGAAACAGTCTTTCTGGCTAATACTAAGCAGTATTTGCAGAAACCACTAAAAAGAATTTGGTTTCTAATATTTAGGAGGACAGGATTTTCAGTTTTCTACATTTAAATATTTGACCAACACTTATTCTATTTTTAATCTCCTTGTGCAAGAAAACTGGGTTCCTGAATAGTCTAACACCTTTTGAGATTTAGGAAGCAAACTGGATTTACATGCACTAAACATAAAGGAAGGAGGTATCACCTCCTAAATTAGCTGGTTCATCAGTGAGGTGTGCTCATCATGTGTAGTGAACTCACAAGTATAAACTAGCAAACTTTATCAACATTCATCCATTAAAGGTACTACCTATTTGAATTCATCATAGGCACAGTAGAATAATAGAATTCTAAAAGTAAACAAAACGCCAGACTTTTGTGTTTTCAGTAATTTCAATACACTGCATGTCACCTGGGAATATTCACATCAATTGATATTGCAGAGTATGTAATACCCAAAAGTGAGCTAATAACTTCAAGAGTGTATGTGATTTTCACAGTGCAGTAACAGAAAGACAGAAACCAGTGGTAGAGTATCAGCGAGCTAAGGTAGTGATCAGACTGGCACACATTTCAAAAAAATCCATGGTGTGACTGCCCAGGCGGGGGGGAGCTGAAGACAAAGTGCTTCCAGTCAAGGAGCCGGTGAGAGAACCAGAAAGTGAGTGGTTCTCAGCTGTGGTGGAATCAAAACTTGACCTTGGTCTGTGCAGGCCAGCAGCAGAACAGGAACGCTGAGGTGTTGAGGAACCAGACCTCTGCTCCACCATCTCATCTGAAAGACCAAAGAACAGGAACTATAGCAAGTGCACTTGCCCAAGTCTTCCCAGGAAGCTGCTGCACTGAGAACAGGAGGTAGGCAGACCTGAGCACAGAGAGCCTGGTAAGCACTGGGATGTGCATGTGTCAGGAGCTGAAGAGGCGCTATCTCCTCCTCCCACAGTCATTACATGTCACTAATCACTCCGAACCTTTCCACAGCTACTGCTCCCCCGAGTCCCTCTCAACATAGGGATACAGCAATTTACACTGAAATGAAAGTGAACATGCTTACATCTGAAAATACCTTACATGCTCAGCAATTTATTTTCTGCTAAAACTACATATTTAATTCACTTACATTTTTGTTAAGACTGCTTTAAAAAGTAGAGAACCCACCCACCATGTCTTTGAGATGATTGTAACAGTAAGTCAAATGGTGCCAAGTTTTATTTCTCAGAACTCACCCCTGCTAGTCTCCTTACCATCAATGCTTTTAAAGTCTAAAAGATAGCTCCGATTGTCAACCAGGTAAAGCTGCAAGCTCATTTTCACATAAGTGCCAGTCACTGGGTTTTTTCTTCTTACTCGAAGATGGTAGGCATTCACTACCTAAAACCAGAAACGAATAAAAAGTTAAAACTACAATGTCTCCCATCCTAGCAAAGAAAATCAAAAGCAAATATGGGTGAGAAAGAAGGATTTATCGTTGATTTTTCTATATCACAAGTAATTTGGTATATTTAATACCACTAACAATACCATTTGTAAAAACTCAGATCCTATAGAGTCTAGCCTTTAGCCCAGACACAAATCTACTCTAGAGTATTAATAATCATCTTAGTAGCCTTTGCTTCAGTGGTTTTGATAAATAGGGAGCAGAAGAAATAACTGAGCTAACTGTCAGTGGCTCACATCAGGTAGCCATAAAACCCCAACAACACGATATCCCGAGGACCATGTCAAACTAGCTCAGATAAAACCCGAGGACCATGTCTGAGGACCATGTCAAACTAGCTCAGATAAAGAAAACCCGAGGACCATGTCCGAGGACCATGTCAAACTAGCTCAGATAAAGAAAACTCGGAAAACTCTGGGTTTTCAGAACCTCTCATATTAGTTTCTGGATTCTTTCCATTGGATAGTTTAAAATGTTGGCATCTCTTGTTTATATGCTTAAAAAGTGAGATAGGGTCCCACACTGGGTTTTGAGCCCATAGAAATTCTCCTGCATCAGGTCCCTGGAGTGCTAGTGTTATAGGCATGAGCCACTATGCCCAACAAAATCCCATCTAACTACATAAACTTGCCTCAGAAAGAGGAGACTGGCTTTAGTTTAAGGAAATGTTATTTTATTTAATCATATAAAAATCATGAAATGAAAGCAAATTAAAATTGATTAAAATGTGCTGAATATATGATAAATTTGAAATGATTTTCCCCTTTAATGGCTAACACAACAAAACCATAAGTCATGAATCTGGAAAGGGACAAGTAAGAGAGAGCTGGGGACAGGAATATGAGAAGAGAATTGGGAGAACAAGAAGAATTCATTTTATACATGTATGAAATTGTTAAAGATCTTAATTTAAAAAAGTTAAAATAGGCCTGTTATAATGGAATGTGACATTAATTCCAGCACTTGGAAGCAGTTGGCAGGTGGCAGGTGGATTTCTAGGAGTTCCAGGCCAGCCTGGTCTACATAGTGAGTTCTACGCCAGCCTGGGCTACAGAGTGAGACCCTGTCCTATCTCATTAAAAACCAAATAAATAAATAAATAAAAATTAAAGTAAACATTCATCATCACCCTCAAGAAAAGATTAACAGTTAAAGGGATATCTTAAATTTTAAAAATGTCCCCATATATACTCAAAGAGTTCAACTGCAACAAAATGTTACACTGAAAACATAAAATGTGTGTTGATAGTAAGAAAATATGCCATAGTCAAGTGTGACAGTTAACACTGAACAGGGCTGCCACTGTTAAAGACTATAGGGACCTTTGAAGTTGTGTTAAATGCATTTTCTATGGTGAGATGGCCGTGATTCTGTGGGGAGAAGAGACGAAAGGCTACAGCTTTGAAATGATATGATCGGGTGTCAAGCTGACAGAGGTAGACTTGTGATGGTTACTACTGTCAACATGACAAGGTCTACAAACCTCTGGACATGTCCTTGAGAGACTGTCTGGATGGAGAAAACTGAAGGGGAAAGGCTGCACTAAATGTGCGCAGCAGCACTTCATATGCTGGAGTTCTGGACTGAGGAAAAGGAGAAAGTGAGCTGTGCACCAGCATTCACTGCTTTCTGCTTCCTGACTGTGAACACAATGTGACCAACCATCGGTCTCACCCTCCTGCCTCCATGACTTCCTGCTGTGATGGACTGTATCCTCACACTGTGAGTCTGACAAACTTCCTTCCTTCCTTCCCCAAGTTCCTTTTCTTGGGGATTTTGTCACAGCACTGAGGAAAGTAACTAACATACCAAGGATGAAAAACCCCAAATAAGAGAATTTCTCAGCTTGGAGAAAAGCATTTGTTGACAGAATGAACATGCTTGACAGCATAATAGAAATTGAACACTAGCTGCCATAGCCATCGACCACGCGTGCCAAAAAGGCATGAAAAGAAAACAAGCTTCCTGAAAAAGGTGAAAAGAAATTGAGTTTCAAGATTTCAGATTTCAGAAATGTTGTTGCTATGAACCATGATGAAACAGGTGGGCTGTTTTCTCAGATAACTTCAATTACTTGGCCAAGAATGCTATTCTGTAACTCAAAATACGTTCCCAGCATCAACAGTTTTTTATCCTTTATTTATTATGTTTTGACAGTGTGTGTTATATAGTTTAAAAGAATGAACCATGTCAACCAAAAATATGAAGCCCACTACAATTATTTCTAAATCAAAAACAACTTTATGTGGACCTCAATACTCAACTGCTTAGAAAACTTATATAAGAACAATTTTCTCTACAAACAGCCTAAGTACATTGTAATTTCCTACCTTCCATTCAAAGTCCAGCTGCTTCATAGCTCGGTACACTTCAGCCATAATGTCATATGGTTTGCTCTGGCTTCGGATTCCAAGATGCCACTTGGCCTTTTTCACAGCTAAAGATTTGGGCTTAGTTGTGTTCAGTGCATCCAATGGGCACCGTGCTTTGGGGCTGTCTGCTATCAGAGGTGGCATCCTTTCAGGATGTGGTTTCAGGCCTGGGGGAATATGCATGGCACTATCATCCATAAAAGAACCAGTTGGAGGACTAGAGGCGAGGTAGAACTCACTGGCTTGGTTCATTATTCTCCGATTGTCAATGATAAGATGATAAGCCACTGCAAGCTGGTCTTGAGGATCACCACTATATAAACTGTTCATTACTTCTGATTCTGTACACTCAAATTTTTCACATACTTCTTTCACAGCCTCATCATCAATGACGTTAGCATCATAGGAAGGGTCTTCAGGAAATAGATAACTGGGCAAATCCTGTTTAAACCATTCATGTTCTCTAGGAAAGACACCATACACACTATTGTAAGAACATGCTTTCATAAGTCCCACATAATTTAGACATGGTGCAATATAACATAATGACTCCAAACTATTGGTCTCTAGTTCCAGCTCTGTTGCTATTGGCTATGTGACCCTGGTGCCAGTTAATTAATCTCTATCCTTAAATAAATACAGATATTCAGACTTGGGATATTTCCTTGAAAATGAACAAAGTGGGGCTGTCACTTCAAGGAAAACAACTAGCAATATTTGTGGCCAATGACAGAATCTAAGTTCCCAAGCAACATTCCAGATGGTAATTTGTACCTGCCTCCTGGGGCTTGATGGTGAAATTAGTATTGATAATAATGAATATAATTTTTGATAGTGTAAATGTAATGTGGGAAATCTGTATATTTCAATAATGCAAGATTTCCCAATGATGTGACAAAATTATACATGCATAAGAGAGCCACTTAAAATTTACAACATATTATATCACCACAGTGTGGTAAAATACGAACATTAATTGATTTTTTTTCTCATATGATATAGTAAACTGTAAGCTAGTATGTTAACCTTTGTTTTAGTATCAAAGAATATCACTATTATCTGAGTGGCTACTAAATACTCCTTTATTTTTCAATCATTTACCCGAGTTCAGATTTTCCTCAGGAACTTCAACTAACATAAAATATTGCCAAGATTAGCTGGGTGGTGGTGGCACACACCTTTAATCCCAGCACTTGGGAGGCAGAGGCAGGTGGACCTCTGTGAGTTTGAGACCAGCCTGGTTGGTCTACAGAGTGAGATCCAGGACATCCAGGGCTGTTAACACAGACAAATCCTGTCTCAAAAAAACCAAAATATAAAGAAATAAAATTGCAAGATTAAATGAAGTAGATTGAGAATTTGATTAAACTAGACACTAAGGACATTCCTAAATGTGTGGGATGATGCTTTTTACAATGTTTTCACGAGTCTTCATAATAGAGACATTACTATTATTAGACTTGGTGGTGTACATTTATTATCCTAGCTATTAAGGAAGCTGATTCAGGAGAATCTCAAGTTCAAGGCTTGCTTCAGCTACAAAAGAAATTATAAGTCACCATGGGTAATTTAGTGAGACCTTATCTGAAGTAAAATGTAAAAGGAGATAGGGGAGGGGGACAGAGATATAGCTCAGTGGTAGAGTGTTTGCCTAGGAAGTGCAAGGCTCTAGGTCAAATCCTTAGGTTGGTCTGTTTGTTTAAGACATTTAAATGAACAGATTTTTTTTAAGAAATTTCCATTCTAATTTTAATTGTTATATGTTAACTACTGGTTATGTCATTCACTAAAAAATTATTTGAGGTCCTCAATAACAAGAGCATAAGGAGATACTAACACTAAAATTTTTGCACACTGCTCTCCTAATCTCATTTTCTCTCATTTCTGGACCTTTGTGTCTGATGTTATGACTACTAGCAAATAGTCGCAGAGATGATACACTAGATAGATACAAACAGATATTTAAAAATAAGTGGTTCCAAATACACAACTACTCTGATAAAATCTGGGCGTGGAAAACAGCAAATGAGAGCCTATGATTCAGAATGGGAGAGCGGGGAGGGAGAGCACTCAAGTTAACATTTAGGCACACACCAGAACGATCAGCAGTCAGCAAAACAATGTGTAGAAAACGTGTATTGCAGCAAAAGAAACAATCTCTGTAAAATCTTGAGACAACAAAGGGTTTTGTCATGTTACAAGAACAGCTGTGGTCCAATATCATTAAAGCCTAGTGAGACATGGATGGAGTGGTACAAGAAATCAGGTATTGTGGAGAGTTGTAGCAAAAACTTTCAAAATAACCTTTAAGCTAGGTTAGGAAATAAGAGTGCAAAAGGGTCTAAGAAGTTTCCCCATATTCCTGAAATTCACAACGGCCAGATGTGTGCCCAGGAAAAAAACTGACAAGATCCTAATTTGTTATCACCGGGTGGCTTGAAGGCTCTGCACAAGGACATGAAAGCAAAGGCAGAGTTATCACTGTCTCTTAAAACACTAAAGATCCACCCTCAACGTAAACACAGAATCACTTTCAAAGGCTGGGGAGCCTACTACATCATGGCATTTAAAAAAAATCTGGCCGGGTGGTGGTGGCGCATGCCTTTAATCCCAGCACTCAGGAGGCAGAGGCAGGCGGATCTCTGTGAGTTCAAGGCCAGCCTGGTCTACAAAGTGAGTTCCAGGAAAGGCGCA